CACTTCTCCCGCTCGCGGGGCCAGACGAGCCGGGCGGGCGGTGCGTGGTCGCGCCGCCCGCGGTTCTGAACCGGCCCCCGGAGGCGGCGCAGCGGGCGCCGTACAGCCTCGGGGAGGGGGCAGGGAGCGGGCTTCACCCAGCCCCTGTGGTTTGAGGGGGGGAACATAACCTGGCTGGTGGGGACGTGGAGCGCCGACCAGGCCCCACAGGAGTAAGGGAGGAAGGGAGTGTGATTTGGCCCCAACCAGGGTGGAGAAGGGCACGGTCTGGTCCTAGCCTGGCTTCTGGGTAGAAGAGGATGTGGCCTGGCTCCAACCCGGCACATGGGACCTGGGGTTTGGGAATTTGGCAGGACGGCCATATGAATAGCTACCACTCCCTTGCTACCAAATTTCCCAACCCATGGGGAGCCCACAGGCCAGATACAATTACTCTGCAGGCTGCATTTGGCCCATGGGTTGGAGGATGAGCAATTATTACTTATTCATTTGCTCCCTTCGCTTATTTAAAGTTTGGGGATGTAATATTTGTTAAGTTCAAGTCTGGCTTGAAGCTTGTTTATATACCTACATATATGTATTTGTATATGTATAAAATAATGCAGTCTCCTAAAATTGAGAGAGCATGAAAGCAATTGTGAATTAGTGTTATAACATTACAAAAACATTTGATAAAAAATTCTGCTTAGTGTGACAACGTGTATGATAACCAGTTCCATATAGTAACTTTTCTATATTACTTTGTATGCAAATATGTATCTTAAGTGATCCAAATGGAGCACAGATGTTGTACTAAACAAGTTTGAGAGGCCTGGGTTTTCAGTTGCTATGGTTCAAAGACATTATTAACTCCCAACAAATGTCATACCTTTTAGACTGCCTAGTGCTTTTAAGGAAGTTTAAGGACCTAGGTAACATGTTGAGAGATAAGTAAACTGTTTCAGTACCCAGCTTCTTGCAAAGATGAGGATAGTTTACTTCCTGGGGGGAAATGCCCTTCATGCAGGAATCAATTTATAAGCTGTATGGTTATAGACTCAATAAAGCTTATGAATTGAGTAGTCAGATATTTTCCAAAGAACTGGTATCCAAATACTGTCAACAGAGGTGAAAGAAATGCATGTAAAATTAGGTTCTGTTCCTGTTTTTTATTTAGATAAGTTTCAATGGATGCTTGGTGGGACATCAACAATGGGACTTGGTGCAATATCAACCATAAAAGCTAAAAACATCTCTTGTAACCAAAATGCAAAATTTTCCTGTTTACACAATCTGCTAAGATTATTTTTTTCCCTGTGAAATGAAGGAGTTTGAACTCATTATAGGCAGGCCTTAACTTGAAGGAAGAATTCTGCCACAAGGAGACAAAAAAAAATTAAGTCTTTGAAAATAAACAAGCACCAGTAACTTAAATGTATTTGACTATATATTTCAGATGTGTATTTCCAGGATTCAAAAGCGATACAATATAGAGTGTATATGCCAGCTAGGAGGTATGTCAAGTTGTTCAAGACTTAAAGTGAATCTAGTTTCATAAGCAGCTTATGGCACAGGTAACCATAGCAACATACATTAGTTCTATTTTTCACAGTTGTGAAATGCTAGAGTGGAAACAATACTAAACTTTTGTTTTCTTTTGCAGAAATAGAGAGGGGTGGGTAGCCATGTTAGTTTGAAGTCAGGCAGAAGGCAGGGCAAGATGGCATCTTAAAGGCTAGCTGGTTTAGGAAGGCATAAGCTTTCCTAGGCTACAGTTGATACTTGTTTAGATGCAATGAAAGCATCATCATATCTGATGATATAAGCTGTAGTGTGTGCAAGAAAACTTATGCCTTTCTAAATCAGTTAGTTTTCAAGGTGCCACCTTGCCCTGTCTTTTGCAAAAGTAGAGGATGCAAAGTGATGCCTTGTTATTACTGCCATATATTATTCATATCGTGTTTGCTTCTAAATTCCCAGAGATAGGAGCCCATTGTGGTCAGCCCTGTGTGACTGTATAATCCTTACCCTAACAAATTCACAGTCTAAACAGATAGACAAAAGAATTATTTTTGTCCTGATTTAACAGATTGAAAGCTGAAATGTGATTGTCCATGTCCTAGAAAAGATTTGCTATTCAAATGATTTACCAATAAACAATATAAGGTGTACATATGATTTTTAGAATTAATCTTCTAAATTAAATAGTCAAGTGAGAGAGATTTAATGACTTACCAAAGGTCACACAAGCAACTTGTGACACCTGGAAATTGAAGCAAGATCTTGTGAATCCCAGTCTAGTACCAAGCCACAAGACTATCCTCATTGCTTTTTGTTCACAGTAATTTTTCAAATATAATATTTACTTCCATTACAGAATTGGGACATAAAATTCAAGATCCTGAGGTAACTAAAGAATCTTCTCAGTTGCAAAGATGTTGGAGGAGGACATGGAGGTGGCCATCAAGGTGGTGGTAGTAGGAAATGGAGCAGTTGGGAAATCCAGTATGATTCAAAGATATTGCAAAGGAATTTTTACAAAAGACTACAAGAAAACCATTGGAGTAGATTTCTTGGAGAGACAAATTCAGTATGTATTAAATAGATGTTGTATTATTTCTTTTTCCTTTTTTCATTGCTGTTTTGAAGCTATGGGTTTATGAAGCTCTGGATCTCAAGGTTTAGTTCTCGGGCTAAACGTAAGGCATTCTATTTTGCATTCTTGCTTAAAAAGCTAAAAATGAGGTTAATTTATTAATTGAATCATTTTTTTTTACCCAAGAGCCAAATTTATAGTTGCAAATCTAATAGAAAAGGAAACTCAAAAGTACTCCTACATGGTAATTCTTCTAAAACGAACTACAGCACGTACTAAAAAAGTAATTATACTACATTTTCTGGCTGTTACACTATTGTGCAAACAGATGACATTTTATCATATTTAACAGAGAGAAAAACATTAAGATAATTCCCATATCTTCTTGTATATAACATGTGCCAGGATATAACACACACCTGGTTTCTGAAAGGCAGAATAAAGATAAAAAGATTTGTCCAGAGTTATGGCTGCATGTTGCTGGGACAGAACCTTATCTTCAGCTTGCTTACCCTCCCTTTCCTATGTAACTACAGCTGTAAACCTGTCTGTTGATAAAGACTGGTTTTCATGGATGGGTCTGTGATTTTGAAAAGAGCTAAAGAATTGTCAGAGCTGTGAAACAGGAAAAGAGCCATCAGAAACAGTTAGCAGATAGCAAAAATTTGCCCTAAAAAAGGTTAGACATTAAAAAGGAGAGACAATCATTAATACCTCTTGAGTGAAGAACAATGGATCATTAAATCAACTGGCTCTCTCAGCTGTCTGAAGAGTAATGTAACAGCTGCTACATTGTGAAGCAGGAACCAAAGCAGGGTGCTTCTATCCTAATCAGAAAACTAGCTTTCCTGCTTAATATATGTACCCCATTTGGGGGGGACTTTTTTTTGAGGGGGGGTTGTGTGTTGTGTATGAGGAAAATATGGTAAGCTGATAAAAAAAAAAAATGTTAACAGAGCAATGTCATGTTTTTCTTTTAGTAATGTTTTGATTCCTTTTAGGGAGAAGGATTTATAAGCCCATGACTGGAATTCCTTTTGTAACTTGTTTTTGCTCTTAAAATTTTTTCTGTAAAAGTGGAAATTAACCACCCTGATGTTGCACTAGATTATTGTGGCATTGCACTAGATAGGGAGGTGTGTGACAGTGCTTACTTCATTGACTTTGTCCAAACTCAGTGGAGTGCAAATATTAACAAAAATTGAATTTGGAGTCTCTCTCTCCAGTGCATTGATAAAACATTTATACCTTTTATTTCAGAGTTAATGATGAAGATGTGAGGCTGATGTTGTGGGACACAGCAGGTCAAGAGGAGTTTGATGCTATAACAAAGGCCTATTATAGAGGTAAGTACAGCTTTATAATTTGGTCTGTACTTTTTATAGATAATAAGAGAAAAACAATGTAGTTTACTTAATCTTTAAGTTTTCTTATTATTTGAGTAGTAGGGATACAAGTTTTTTAATGGCTATGTAAATCTGGTTTGGGTGCTATACTATTTCTTATTTTCAGATGAGGGGAAATGAGTGGTACTTAATGTGCCTTACTCATTTGCATGAGTAAGGGCTATATCTGCCTTAGCAATTTGGACTGCACTCTGGTAAGAAAAATACCAGCTTCAAAAGAAAGATCTTTTGGCAATGTTTACAGCTAAATGAGAGAGAATTAATTAATTGGTGTCTCCTTTCTTAAATAGTGAAAATGAAGCCTTATCAAGCTTTTACAGGTGTTTCTTACTGCCAAACTGCCTAAAAGCTTCTACTGAGACTTGGGAATAGTAAATTACATATGTATATAAAATCTCTCATTCAACCTGCAGGTATACTTTTTACCAATGGAAAACTTGCAACCATTGTTTTCCCCTGGAATGGGAAATGGTACATTACTGTCTTGATTAAAAGACTTTAAGTGCCAGAACCATGCATTTCCTCAGTAAGCTCCAAAATACAGCTGTTTTCAAATGAGCAAGTGAAATATTTATGTTTAGATGTGATGTGCAACATATACCTAAAATATGGAGGGCAGCTAGAGATCACAAGCCATCTTTGTTTTCATAGCTTGGGCCAGCACAGTCTATACACCATCTTTAAAATCTGCTGTGACAGATCAGTTCTTTTCTGTTATAGTTGGAAGGAAATAGGGATGGGGTCTTCTGAGAATTAGATCAGGAGATGAAAATGCCTTAAAAGAAGCTGGAGTCATGGAGGTTTTTGAACCCAAAACTGGGCATGGTAAGGCTCCCAGGGGGATGTGCCTGCTATGTAGAACTTCTGAACTCCAGAAGGATGTAAGATAGACGGATGGGTAACAAGACGGCAGGTAAAGTTCTAACTTGGCAAATGCAAAGCAGTGAGCATTGGAGAAAATAATCTGATCTTACAAGGCAATGTTGGCATGAGAACAAATAGGTTTAAACTGCTCAAGAATAAATTTAGGCTGGAAGTTAGACCAGAGTTCATAATTAGCACAATGACCAGAGTTCATAATTATTAGCACAGGTTTTCCAGCCTTCTAGTAGTAGAGGGTGCAAAACATCCAAATGCTTTTAAAATGAAGCGTGATATATTTTTTAAAGGAATTATATAGTATGATGGCTATGATAGGAGACTGGACTTGACCTAGAAGGTCTGTTGTTTCCATGGGACATGAATCATTAAGTGTGTACATATTTTTGCTCAGCGTTAAGAAGGCTTTTTGCTGATGGCATTGGGATCCCAGATGAGACTCAGTTAAGATTTTATCACCACAGTAGCAACAGTATACCTGGCACTGTGCACAAAAGTTAGTAAATATTCCTCTACAGCATCCTGATAGACTAAATGTGAATTAGAATTTGAATAATTATTCTGAAGAGTGTTTAAAGTATTAACTCTGAAATTTAAGAAAGGCTGAAAGTGTTAACTTTTTGAACCAAAATCTCTTCCAAGCTCTCCAAACCAAATTTCTACTGAACAATTTCACCTAACTTCGTAAATTAAAATTTATGATCCCAAAAGCAGATTGCTAACTGACAATGTGAAACACTTGTAAATATATTAAAGACTATGTAGGTACTTATTTGCATTCACTCTCTGCATGGTGGTCCTGTACTAGTGAACATCACCTAAGACCCCTTCTTTCTCTGACTGCTGGAGTAGCTTAGAGGGTATCAGAATAGCAATTATTTTGAAAATTGGCAATAATGACTACACAAAACCTCCAGTTAGTCTCCCTTTTGGTGCTCCTTATCAGTTTGACACAATCCAATAATTAAAGTTTTTGTCCTTCTGAAGTAGAGAGAAAAATCTCCAAATACCTTTTCATAGGCTTGTTTTTATTCCTGTCCATTAGTTGTGTAATTGCCTTGTCTGTTTTTAGGAGCCCAGGCTTGTGTTCTTGTGTTCTCAACCACTGATAGAGAGTCTTTTGAAGCAATCCCCACCTGGAAGGAAAAAGTGGTGACTGAAGTTGGAGACATCCCCACAGTGCTTGTACAAAATAAGATTGATCTTCTGGATGATTCTTGTATAAAGAAGTAGGAGTTTCACCATGTTGTTTGAAAGCAGTGAAGTCTCTTTTGTATACTTACTTCTAGAATGGAAATCTATAGTGAAAACTTGGAATTATATTAACTTAAACGTATATTAACTAAAGTTCCAAACCAAGAGACTAAATCTGAAAATATGTACAAATAATCCTATGCAGAAGTAACACATAATAATCCTATGCATAAACATTGTGCCACTCCCAGGAGTAAAGTTACTTATGTGTGTAAATGTATGTGGATCTTTGTAAATAATCTGGTTGGGTCACATGACATAACCTTATTTTGTGGGCAGGAAACTGAAAGGACTCTCTCTGTGGTCCAGATATTACAATCTTGGTTTTAGACCAACCAGATTATATAATCTAGTTTCACTAGCAAGTGTTTAAGTGGTTAAATGGATGTGCTTATTAGGGGTGTGCAAAGTGGGCCATATTCGATTTGGATTCGGTCCGATTCGGGGGACAGTGATTCAGTTCGCTGATTCGGATCACCGTCCTGATTCAGTTCGGCCAAATCTGAACCTGAAGATTCAATTCTGACTCGGAGACTCAGCGATTTGGCCATAGATGCAGCTTTATATGTTTCTTTCTATATATCTCAAGGTGCCAGGTGCGGCTTATAAATGCTGAGATGGTGGGGCAGATGGAGCATCCCACAGGAGGGGTGGGGGGGTCCCCATGTGCACTTCCAGTCCACTTCTGAGTCCACTGCTGAGCACACAGGGATCCCCGTGCCACCCCAGCTTGGTGATCAGCCGTGGGGGGACCCCAGGTGTCCCCCCAAATCCAGGAGGCACCAGTCGCTGAGCTGGAGGGGAGGGGACCCCTGCGCGTTCTGCTGCTGGACCTGGAACTGCTTCTGGTCCACTTCCAGGTCCACCACAAAGCATGCTGGGGACCCCCCTGCATTCCCATAGGATGCTCCATCCGCCCCACCATCTCCGTGTTCCCAAGCCATCTGATACCTTGAGTTATGTAGAAAAAACTTATAAAGCTTTGTCTATGTCCGAATTGTCAAATCATCAAAGTCTTCTGATTCAATTCGGAGAGATTAATGGGTGTCCTGATTCGATTCAGAGATTCGGCCACTGAATTGGGCTGATTCTCCTCCTAATCAAATCAGCACCCAAAGCTTCATACAACCCTAATGCTTATGTACAATATCTTCTTACATACAACACACCCCTTTTTCCCAAATATCAGCCCACCCAAAATTGAGTTGTACGTACTGAGCAGAGAAGCTAATTTTTGACTGGGATGGAAGCACCCTGTTTTGATTTCTTCTCCACAGTGAGCAATTGTTGCATTACTCTTCAGGTAGCTGAGGGAGGCAGTTGACTTAATGACTCACTGTTCTTCACTCCAGAGGTATTAATGATCGTCTCTCCTCTTTAATGGTCTTGATGTTCCACTAAGCAACCTAACCTTTCTTAGGGCAAGTTTTCTGTCTGCTAGCTGTCCCTGTCCACTCCCTGTCCACTTTCTTGCTGTTTCATAGCTCTGAAAACTCTTTCGACCTTTCCAAAATCATAGAACTACCCATGAAGAACAGTCTTCAGCAGCAACTAGGTATTCAGCTGATTAAGCAGGAAAGGGAAGGTGAGTGGAGTGCATATTAGGTTCTATCCCTGCTCTTTACAGCCATAATGCTGGAAGAATCTTTTCTTCATTCTGCCTTTCAAAAACCAGATGTATATTACATTCTGGGGCATGTTGTATGCAAGAAAATACATTAATTGTTCTTTTTTTTTTAAATTCTCTTCCATTTTTGTAATTGTTCTTTATGCTCGTGCTTTATCAGAATACAATTCTGTAGTGTAAAATATTTATAATACATTATTATCCACAAACACAAACTCTTGTTTCTTCAGTCCCTGTTCCCTGCTCTTTCCCCCATAGAATCCATTGTCACTTCATATTCTGTTGAACTCTGTCCCTCAAGCTAGGCTCATTCTTGCGGTAATCAGACTCTGAAATCCTGACTCAGTCCCTCACAGCATTTATTTCCTCCACACCAGTTCATACCACTTTGCTCAGTAGTGTAACTAGAGGTGGGCAAGAGGGGTGCTAGCCTTGGGCACCAACTTAGGACAGGCATCAGAATCTTCCCCCACCCCCATGGAGTCTTTGTTCTGCCAGCAAGAGCAGCCCCACAGCATTGCTCTTGCAGCCACAGATGAAGTACGGACATTTCAATGCTGCTGCTTTAAAAATAAGAGCTGGGGTGGGGAGAGCCTGTAGCAGCAGCAGCAGTTTTGGGCAAGACACCTACACGCTCCTGCCCACCCCCTGGTTCTTGGAACCACGGACCCCCTCCCACCCACCGTCTGTCCCATACAGTTTGCCCAGAGTGCAAACCCTGCTTGTTATGCCACTGTCCGTGCTTAATCATTATACTGGTAATACTTTCGTTTCTCTTTCTTTCATTTTCTTTTTCAAACATGTTCACCCCTTTTCTTCTAAAAGGCCATCCTTCTTCAGCAGGTACCTTATGTCTTTTCCCTTTTACCTGTAAACTCACTAAACATACCATCAACTATCGTATCAGATTCTTTTTCTTTACGTCTTTGTTTCTCTTAAGTCTGGTGTTCCCCTTCTCTACTCTGTTAAAACATGCCTAAGAATTGCCTCAACTCTCTCTCCATGATGTGCTAATTCTTATTCAGGTTCTCCTAATATCCTGTATTGTGCAGTGGTAACCACTTTCCCTCTGCCTTTTCTAATATCCATTTTGCTGTCCTCTGAGGTATTTTTATACAGAATCAAAATAATCAAACTTCTACCATAACAGGAAAATCATACAAAACATCTCATTGCTAAAGAAAAAATGTGAAACAAAGATCAAATGCCTTTTCACTGTTTCAATGTTCTTATACCTTTTTTGGCTACTTTAAAGGATACTGTGAGTAGCATTGATACATGTTAAAAATTGGCATTTACAAGTCTTTCTCTTATGCAGTGAAGAGGCAGAGGCATTGGCAAAAAAGTTAAAGTTAAGATTCTACCGAGCATCAGTGAAAGAGGATCTAAATGTAACTGAAGGTAAGAGATGTGGCAAGAGTAGGACTGTCCTCTGTTGTATAGAATGGAATTGCACATCAATGTAACATGGGAACTAAACTATCAGTGTTTGATTCTTACAGGGTTTCAGTTTGGCTGTAATTTTCAGACTGTAAATATACTAGGGGTGACTTCTTAAACTTAACTAATATCATTTGAGATAATTAGATGCTTTTTTCTCTTTTTTTTTCTTCCACACAAAGGTAGGAGTAACATTTTCAAAGGTGTTTAACTCATTTGAACCCCTTAAACCTCTTGACTGTAAATGAGAAGGTGGGGGGTTGGTTAAGAAAAAACCTTATGTAGAATGAATGTTAAAGACGGAGAAGAGCGTTTTAGGCTAAAAAGCAACACCAGCACAATATCAAATGATACTGGCTATGAACAAATTTAGATTGAAAATTAGAAGACTTGCATTTATTTGAGGGGTGAGATTTGGGAATGGTCTTCCAAGCAAATAATTGCTTTTTAAGAATAAACTCAATAAGTTTATGGAAGGAATGGTATGGTAGGATAGGAAGTTCTTAGTTCAACCCTCAGTTTGTGTGATATGTAAGATCAAGCATTTGCATTCCCCTTATTAGGGTATAAAGGTAGTTCTTTTGCGGTGTGGTAGGTACCTGACAATTGCATGTTTCAGGGCTTTTGCTGGTCACTTGCAGGGACCAAGAAGATTTTTTTCACTTTCACAAATGCTTTATTGATTTCTGTGATTTTGTTTTGGATTTTTTTTGTTGTGGTTTTTTTTCTTGGTTTGGGATTTTCTTTGGGGTGGGGGGAGTCATCTTCCTTTGAAGCACTGGACATTAACCAGAGGTAAGGGTGTGGATTTTGACTGGGGTCTACTTGTGCTTCTGTCAGTACTTACGGATTCCTAGATAGAGGGTCTGGTTTTTCCTCTCAGAATCAAACTGAATGCTGAATATGGGATTAGGAAAGGAAAGGATTTTTTTTCCAGGTCAGACTGCCAAGGATCTATATGGATTTTGCATTTCTCTGTATTGTAGGATGTGGTGCTCTCCCTAATGTTGTTTGAGCATATATTAACCAATCAATAGCTTCTCTCCTGTTGCAGTGCCAGGACACTGGGACTGCCTTAGCCTCCTCTGCTTTTATCTGTGGCCTTCTGCAAGGTGTTCTTGCATATTTGTACCTTGTATGTGAGAGTTTGGAGTGAGCAGTTTCTAGGAATCTAGATAAATGGTTGCCTGTTGTTTCTGGGACGGGGTTTAGTGGCCCCACGTAAGTTTAAAAATCCACTTCATGTGTACTTTACTAAACACATTACTTACTACAAGTGCATACTGCTGTGCTTTGTGTCAAATCAGCTGCTTATAGAGCTCAGATTTGTTATCAAGCCAAATTTGTAATACTAGAGTTGATGGACTGAACCTGAGATGAAACTTTCATAGGTATCTGTGTGGAGATCCCTCACTTTGTACCCTGACATGGCTCTCTTTGGCATTTCAGTTTTTAAATATTTGGCTGAAAAGTATCTTCAGAGGCTCAAACAACAAACAACTGAAGATCCAGAACTAGTACATACAAGCAGTAACAAAATTGGTAAGTTTGCAATAAACTGGTTAGACTGTATTTTCTGTTGATAGAGCCTCCTATTAATTACTGGAAGGTTTTGATCCAACACTCTAAATGCAAATTGAATCACTAATTGTCATATTCTTAACATAGTCCCTATAATTCTTTATTAAATTACTTCATGATCCCATTATGATTTATGATAGTCAAGCTAATGTACCTGAGATGTTAGTTAGTATTATTTTAACTATCCTTTTAATCTAATTCCTGTGAACAAACATTGTGTAAAGACTTGAAAATGGATGTTTCCTTGTTGCCTGCTTTTTTTAATGTCATTAGTATGAGTCATGCTGGTGCAGATGTACAGGATAGTAACAGTGAAAAGATCTGGCATTTAATGAGAAGGACTTTGTAGACTTTGTATTTTGCAAGGAAACACTGAACTTCTGTTGCTCTTCAAAGCACTGCTGAGTCAGTTGATTTTGTTTCTTTCTTAAAGCCCTTCTTTTTACATACTGTTTTTCCTCTATTTATTTCAACAAATTTTCTAATTCAAAAACTCTGTCTTGTTTGTTTTACTCAACTAAGCATAGCCTTGTTGTGACGTGAGTAGCATCTCAGTATGTATTAAACCTTACAATGGCATGTATTTAACTTCAGCTGGCTCTAATACAGAAACTTAGCATATTGAACTCCTTGCAGCAAGTGGACACACTGGAATAAGCAGAAACTATATTCAAGAATTACAGATTGAATTTGAGATGTATTACTAGCATTAGTAAATGTTTTGGCTTCAAGTTCATTATGTTGTACTGCAAAGATATAAAGAGATTCATAAAAGTATTTTTTTTGTCTTGAAATTGTATAGGTGTTTTTAACACAGCTGGTGGAAGTCACTCTGGCCAGAATACTAGCACACTTAATGGTGGAGATGTCATCAACCTTAGACCAAACAAACAGAGGACGAAGAAAAACAGAAGTCCTTTTAGCAACTGCAGCATACCTTAGAACCACTGTGGATGAGGAAAAGAATGACAGTTCATGGGATGAAGCTGTGCAATTAAATAAGGAATACAGCCAGCTATAGTGGTTTTTTATCAGTGCTCTAGCAAACCTTGCACCTACAGGATCCTTGACAGATGGTGGATTTAAATAAATTGTGGTTGCAATGTTTCTTCAGTAAGTCGAGTGAGACCCCTGGTGGCAAAAAAATAGAACCAATGTTGCCCCTGTGCACCTCTTTAAATTAGATAAGCTTTTCCTGTTTGAAGGAATGATGTACAAAGCTATGTGATAGGTGTTGCTGAATTGTAACGCACACTAAAATATAAGCATAATGCTTACAAGTATTGGTACAGACCATAATATTGTGGCCCAAGGTAAAGTAGCTTCTTTCCAACTAAATTTACCAACACATTTGTTAGAAGACTGTTGATTAATCAGGACCCTTAAAAATAAAATGAGGTGCAAGAAGGAGATATGCTTCTTATGTCAGACTATACCGATAGGGTTTTGGCAGTTTTTTTTCTGTGCAATATAATTGTATAATGTATGAATGTTAACTAAGGTGTGCATATAGGTACAAAATGTTTGAGCTAAACAGAGAGGAAACAGTATCTGATGAGTTGTAGGGGACCAGGTAATTTTCTTAATGAGCACCCTTAAAACTAACTTTTGGTTCTTTAAAAATGTGCATTTCAAATGAGGCTTTCCAAAGCAGTAGTGTTAAGATTTAACACGCTATACTTTGGGCCTGAAAGCTTCAATTAAAAAAAATGTGTGGTGCCAAAACATTTTTTCTTCTTAACTGATGCTGTACTACAGATATTTTGGAAAAGTGTTTGTTTTTCTTAGTCTTAGCAGGATAAACAGCAAGGGTCTCTGATTCTTATATATTCAGTTGGAAGCCCTTAAATAATTTCACTTGTGCTTCAGTTCAGAAATAGATTGCTGGCAGTCGGTATGTTCCTACAGCATCAGCTCTGAGACTTGTTGAACTTGAGGAACAGTTTCAATAAAATACTAGGCTCTAGTAAGAAATTTGGATCTAGCAAATTGGAGCTGATTATTAAATCCAATTAATAGACTCAGATTTATATTGCTGGTTAAATCTAATCTGTAAGATCAGGGGTAAGGGATAACATTTTCAGAAGTGTTTAAGTCCCATATTTCAGAAGTCATTTAGGAGCCTAAATCTAATGGGAAGTTAATGGTAGTTAAGCTCCTAAATCATTAAGGTGCTTTAATAAAAAGTTACACAAGATAGCTTTTATTTACCAAAAACATAAATTTTCCATTCTCCAAGAGCATGCATTTTTTAAAAAATATCCATTTTGTTTACATGTTTTTGTATGGTATTGTATCATTTTAATCTTTAGGATTTCTCTAACAAAGGTCTGTCAGCAGTAAATGCAAATATTCTACTTTAAGAAATTTGGAATTGTAATAGTTTCTAAATAGCTGTAGTAGAGTGCAAATGACTTGGCCTTCTTTATTTTGGAGGATGAATATTTCATTCTATGAATTCATATAAGTTTAAAATGTTTCATTTTAAGATCTTGAGCATGAGAGCTGATGTACTTTTGTCCTACCATATGTGGGCAAGAGAAGCGTGTATGTGGGAGGGTGATAATTTTTCATAAACACTAAATCAGAACGTTTCTGTTGTATTTTAACATATTGACTTCCTATGAAGTACCTGGATTTTTTGGCAGGCTGTTATGGCATCTCCCATTGCTGGCAATGAGATGTGCATCAAGGTACTCAATCCTCTCTGCTATTGCAACAAAAATGTTTCATCACAGCATTTCCTACATACCCTGTTCAATAAAGGCCTTTATTTTTAACAAGTGCATTTAATTGATGTATGGATATGTACATGGGGCCAAATTGTGCCTGTCTTGGCTTGTAAGATAAGCCGGATTTGGTAAGGAAAGGAATGACTATTGTAAATAATGGGGCACATCTTAATATTTCAGGATTTAAGATAGAAGTACGCGTGCAGGATTTTTCAAACTTTTTAACATGGACAATTTTAAATGATGCTGGTAGTCTAAAGTTTTACATTTTTTAAAACAAAATCTGTTTGTAACTTCAGTTTTTGCCTTGTTTAACTGTGTAAAAAGTACTTAAAATAAGAGCCTTTAGGACACAAAGTTGCCATTTGTACACTGGTACTTAAAGTCTGTCATCATAACCACTATTTTCAGGACTGAAAACTCGATAACTTCTGTTCAAGGCTGAAATTTGACAGGCCTACTCAGTATGAGAAGCTGAAATTTAGTATTTGCATGCTTGAAGTTAAGTGTGCAAGTGTTCACAGGATGGAGTAGTAGTGTTTCTTTCCTACCCCTCAATCTAAAGTGGCTTTCTATTTTTATATTTCTAGAAGACATTCTCCAGAGATGCAGGATATAACACATTAGCATGAATCAGGATGGTAGTTTACTGTACATATATACTAATTAAAAATAATTTATTTTTTAATGATTTGAACATGCAGATATGCAGCAACTGACTTCCATATAGCAGAGTTCCTTACGCACTCATTTAACTTCTCATACAAAATAAGTTTCTGACTTTTGGATGAAAAATCGGAATAAGCCCTTAGCATCTGTACATGCGATTTGTACACATGATTAACTTTAATGTGGATTAGCATTACCAGAAAATAGTGAATCCTCATTTAAAATTATTCTTGAAGACAACAAACTTAGACCAAACTTATTCTTGAAGACAACAAACTTATTCACCAAACTTAGATATGTAGAACTGATAAGAAAATGCTATACTTGGTACATCTCATTGTGACTTTGTAGAACAGGATGTTGCCCTTTTATATTTACAAACAGCAGTAATCCTGTATGCTGTACTATGAGCAATAAAGGCATTTATACACATGCTTGCCCCCCAGCACTTTGCTGCAATGGATACATTTGTATAAACAACAAAATGCACATCAGCCCTGAGAAAATGGCAGCAGTGTGCTTTTGAATTAAAACACATCGAATGTGTTTTAGTTTAAAAGTACACTGCTGCCATTTTCTCAGGGCAGACGTGTATTTTGCCATTTATACAAATGCAAACGATGCAGGCCTGGACACATCAGCTTGCATGTGGAGCAGACTCAATTAACTGAGTCTGCTCTGACATGCTGGATTTCTGGCAAGTCTGAGCAAATATATGTGTATAAATGCCGTTAAGTGCTCCCATCTTAGCAAAGGAAGTTGTGTTTTGTTGGTACAGTGAAATGTAGGCAAACTGCTCACCTCTCTGTATTGGGTAGTCTAACTGGACCTTATCAAAACCGTTTATGCTATCAACTGAAGTGTCTCCTTACAAGGAAAGCCTCAGTAATTAGTTGGGCCTTAGCTAAGTGAGTATTCATTAAACTAGTATTTACACTAAAGCAGTAGTTTAAGCATCTTCCATTATTTCATTGTATCCATTCAATGAATGGGCTTGTTTCTCTCAGTAAGGTCTGCCTTTTTAATGAGCCTTTTAAACAATGGTACCATTTGATGCAGAGTAGGATGGCTATGTTTAATTTTCCATTGGAAATAACAAAGCTCAGAGTTTGAAGTTTAGTTACTTTTAAGATCTCTTTTGGTTAATCTATCTTGCATCTTGTAAAGTCTGTAACTTTAAGGCAGTTTTGAAGCTTTCTAATTTTCAGTGCTTCTTTAAAGGCAAAACTTACACTTTCAGTCGCAATGTGCATCACCATATTGTCAAGCTGATTTCCTGTTTTGTTTTTGTTTACACTTAAGGTAAATTGTCTTTACTCTTTATAATTAGCAATTAGGATACAGCTGATATTACAGGATAGCGGGCTTGTGTCACTTCTGTAGATATCTTTATAATAAAGGGAATTGAGCTGCTGAACACATTGTAGTGCTTAGAACTTGTGCTTGTATGCAGTGCATAATGCTCAATGAACGTGCACTTTGAATGTATTAATTCATCAGTTAAAGCTGGTAGCTATCAGTTAATGAGTAATACGAGACTTCATTATTTGCACTGGTATGCCTGCTTGTGGGTATTCAAGCTTACAACTACATAAGAAACAAGCTTATTGGATTCCACTGACAATTCCTGAAATCACATTAAATTTCTAAATGTTGTCATATTTTGTTGGCCAAAATAGTTGACGTATGACTAGTGTTCAGTAAAATGAAGTGCAACCATGGTCCACTTAGCCTGCTTGGCTCCATCAAATTACATTGTTATAGTGCTTTAAGGAAAATCACTTCTACAGATTTTCAAATATTCTGAATGAAGGAGGCTTCTAAAATCAAACTATAGTCTCTAATGCCAAATAGGTATTTTAGTTACAACAAAGTTAAACAGCAATAAGAATTAACAGTGTGCCACAAAAATAGCAAATTTGACTTCACACACTGTTCTATGAGAGTAAGGGAAAATGCTTTAAACAATTCGAATTCCAATAAATTCTGTTAAATAGGAGCAGAGAGACAGTGACCTTAAAGCCACGTGAATCTTGTAAGGTAGAAAAAAGGTCTCAGTCTCAGGAGTGTATCATCTCTCTTTTGAGATAAGCATTTAGAAGGCTGCTGACTAAAGGCTTTAAAAACAAAAAATGGTTTCATTTGGACCAAATGGAATATTGCTTTCATTGCTACAATAACAACCCATTGGTATTTAAGTGACTTAGATGAGCTGAAAATTTCTGTGAATTGGAATAGTAAAAACATTGTATAAAACTGTTCTATCATTGTCGTATACTTACATGTAATATCATACTTATTTTTTTTAGAAATTCATGTCAACGTGACTTACACTTAATCCCTAAACAAGTGGAAAAATAAATGTTTCAACATGAATGCCTGGTATATGCTCCTTTTTATAAATGCTAATTTTCATAGATTTCATAGACATTAGGGCTGGAAGGGACCTCAGAAGATTAAGTCCAGTCCCCTGTCCCAGGGACAGGAAGTCAGCTAGGGTCAAAGGATCCCAGCAAAATATGCGTCCAAACATTTCTTAAGTGTCCAGAGTAGATGCTTGCACCAGCTCTGGAGGGAGAGTATTCCAGGCCTTGGGGGCTCGGACAGTAAAGTTTTTCCTTATGTCCAGCCTAAAACAGTCTTGGAGGAGTTTATGACAGTTGGACCTTGTCATCCCTTGGGGCGCTCTGGTGAACGGGCATTCCCCCAGATCCTGATGCACACCCCTTATGTACTTACAGGCAGCCACCAGGTCAGCCAGGAGCCTGCACCTTTCCAGGCTGAAGAGTCCCATGGCTCTCAGCCTCTTTTCATAAGACCTGTTCTCTTGCCCTCTGATCATGTGCATATTCTTCACAGTAAGGGTTGCCAGAATCTGGAATGGGCTTCCAAGAGAGGTGGTGCTTTCCCCTACCGTGGGGGTCTTAAAGAGGAGACCAGACAAGCACCTTAGGGTCATCTGACCCCAGCGCTCTTTCCTGCCCAGGGCAGGGGGTTGGACTCGATGACCTACTGAGGTCCATCCTGACCCTAATACCTATGAATCATGTGTGGCTAAAGACGGTGGGAGGATGACATCTTGAGATTTGCTTGAGAAGCATCTATGGATGCAAGCCAGAGTTTTATTCACTTTACCAGCTGTGACATCGCATTGGTGGCTTATGTTCATCTTGTGGTAAATCATGACCTCCAAGTCCCTTTTGGCCATAGTGCTAGTGAGCATAGCACTGCTGAGCCTATAAGCGTGATGCATGGGTTTTTTTCTCCGGTGGAGTACCTTGCATTTATCTGTATTGAATGTCATCAGGTTTTTATCCACCCACTTTCTAAGCCTATCAAGGTCAGCCTGGATTACCAGCCTATCCTCAGGTGTGGACGCTCTACCCCAAAGTTTGGTGTCATTGGTGAACTTGGCCAGTCCACTTATGACATCAGTGCCCACATCGTTAATAAAGACATTGAAGAGTATGGGTCCAAGGACAGAGCTTTGGGGGACACCACTGGTCATAGAGTGCCATGATGATTCATTTCCATCAACTACCACTCTCTGGGTCCAACTTCGGAGCCAATTCCCAAGGCAACTGTGATGTAGCCAAAGCCACAGTTGGCCAATTTTTCCATGAGGAGATCATGAGACACCAAATCAAACACTTTTTTTAAGTCCAGATATATGATGTCAATCTCATATAACGTCAACCTTGTCCAGGTGGTATGTGATCTGGTCATAGAAGGAAATGAGATTTGCGGGTAGGTCTTGCCTGACCAAAAACCTGTGCTGGCTGTCCCTCAGGATGTTGCCATCAGCCGGCTTGTCTAGAATGGTCTCTTTAATATTTTTGTCCAAAATCTTTCCAGGGGTTGAAGTCAAGCTGATAGGCCTGTAGTTCCCCGGATCTACTTCCCTTTCTTTATTGAAGATGGGCACCACATTGGCCTTCTTCCAATCTCTGGATACTTCACCTGAGTGCCACAAGTGCTCTAATATCCTTCCAGTGGCTGGGCTATGATGCTTGCCAGCTTAAGTACTCTGGGGTGCAAGCTGTCAGGACCAGCTCACTTGAAGGTGCCCAGCCTCTCAAGGTGTTCCTTTATAAGGATGGGTATAAATTCACCCTCATCCTGGCCATCCCGCATCATGTTAGGCAGGGCAGTCCCTTTGGTCTGGTGAAAAACTGGTACACAGTACCCATTAAGCAGGTTGGCTTTTTCCTGGGTGTCGGTTGTCAGTTGTCCCATTTGGTTTAGCAGGGGTCCAAAGTTACCCTTGCTTTTCTTCTGACTCCCCACATAGCTGAAAAAGGACTTTTTTATTGTCCTTGATATGTGTAGCCAGCTGGAATTTGTTTGCAGCCTTGGCTTCCCTGGTTCGCTTTCTGCAGGTGCAGAC